ATTTATTTGAAATCTGTGTAAAATTTGTGTAAAATCTTTCGTAAATTTGTGTAAAATTTATTTGAAATCTGTGTAAAATTTTTGAAAAATCTTTCATAAGTTTTTGTAAAATTTATTTAAAATCTGTGTAAAATTTGTGTAAAATCTTTCGTAAATTTGTGTAAAATTTATTTGAAATCTGTGTAAAATTTGTGTAAAATCTTTCGTAAATTTGTGTAAAATTTATTTGAAATCTGTGTAAAATTTTTGAAAATCTTTCATAAGTTTTTGTAAAATTTATTTAAAATCTGCATAAAATTTGTGTAAAATCTTTCGTAAATTTGTGCAAAATTTATTTAAAATCTGTGTAAAATTTTTGTAAAATCTTTCATAAGTTTTTGTAAAATTTATTTAAAATCTGTGTAAAATTTGTGTAAAATCTTTCGTAAATTTGTGTAAAATCTTTCGTAAATTTGTGTAAAATTTATTTGAAATCTGTGTAAAATTTGTGTAAAATCTTTCGTAAATTTGTGTAAAATTTATTTGAAATCTGTGTAAAATTTGTGTAAAATCTTTCGTAAATTTGTGTAAAATTTATTTAAAATCTGTGTAAAATTTTTGTAAAATCTTTCATAAGTTTTTGTAAAATTTATTTAAAATCTGTGTAAAATTTGTGTAAAATCTTTCGTAAGTTTTTGTAAAATTTATTTAAAATCTGTGTAAAATTTGTGTAAAATCTTTCGTAAATTTGTGTAAAATTTATTTGAAATCTGTGTAAAATTTGTGTAAAATCTTTCGTAAATTTGTGTAAAATTTATTTGAAATCTGTGTAAAATTTTTGTAAAATCTTTCATAAGTTTTTGTAAAATTTATTTAAAATCTGTGTAAAATTTTTGTAAAATCTTTCGTAAGTTTTTGTAAAATTTATTTAAAATCTGTGTAAAATTTGTGTAAAATCTTTCGTAAATTTGTGTAAAATTTATTTGAAATCTGTGTAAAATTTGTGTAAAATCTTTCGTAAATTTGTGTAAGATTTATTTGAAATCTGTGTAAAATTTGTGTAAAATCTTTCGTAAATTTGTGTAAAATTTATTTGAAATCTGTGTAAAATTTTTGAAAAATCTTTCATAAGTTTTTGTAAAATTTATTTAAAATCTGCATAAAATTTGTGTAAAATCTTTCGTAAATTTGTGCAAAATTTATTTAAAATCTGTGTAAAATTTTTGTAAAATCTTTCATAAGTTTTTGTAAAATTTATTTAAAATCTGTGTAAAATTTGTGTAAAATCTTTCGTAAATTTGTGCAAAATTTATTTAAAATCTGTGTAAAATTTGTGTAAAATCTTTCGTAAATCTGTGTAAAATTTGTGTAAAATCGTTTGTAAATTTGTGCAAAATTTATTTAAAATCTGCATAAAATTTGTGTAAAATCTTTCGTAAATTTGTGCAAAATTTATTTAAAATCTGTGTAAAATTTGTGTAAAATCTTTCGTAAATTTGTGTAAAATTTATTTGAAATCTGTGTAAAATTTGTGTAAAATCTTTCGTAAATTTGTGTAAAATTTATTTGAAATCTGTGTAAAATTTGTGTAAAATCTTTCGTAAATTTGTGTAAAATTTATTTGAAATCTGTGTAAAATTTTTGAAAAATCTTTCATAAGTTTTTGTAAAATTTATTTAAAATCTGTGTAAAATTTGTGTAAAATCTTTCGTAAATTTGTGTAAAATTTATTTGAAATCTGTGTAAAATTTGTGTAAAATCTTTCGTAAATTTGTGTAAAATTTATTTGAAATCTGTGTAAAATTTGTGTAAAATCTTTCGTAAATTTGTGCAAAATTTATTTAAAATCTGTGTAAAATTTTTGTAAAATCTTTCATAAGTTTTTGTAAAATTTATTTAAAATCTGTGTAAAATTTGTGTAAAATCTTTCGTAAATTTGTGTAAAATCTTTCGTAAATTTGTGTAAATTTATTTGAAATCTGTGTAAAATTTGTGTAAAATCTTTCGTAAATTTGTGTAAAATTTATTTGAAATCTGTGTAAATTTGTGTAAAATCTTTCGTAAATTTGTGTAAAATTTATTTGAAATCTGTGTAAAATTTTGAAAAATCTTTCATAAGTTTTTGTAAAATTTATTTAAAATCTGCATAAAATTTGTGTAAAATCTTTCGTAAATTTGTGCAAAATTTATTTAAAATCTGTGTAAAATTTTTGAAAAATCTTTCATAAGTTTTTGTAAAATTTATTTAAAATCTGTGTAAAATTTGTGTAAAATCTTTCGTAAATTTGTGTAAAATTTATTTGAAATCTGTGTAAAATTTGTGTAAAATCTTTCGTAAATTTGTGTAAAATTTATTTGAAATCTGTGTAAAATTTGTGTAAAATCTTTCGTAAATTTGTGCAAAATTTATTTAAAATCTGTGTAAAATTTTTGTAAAATCTTTCATAAGTTTTTGTAAAATTTATTTAAAATCTGTGTAAAATTTGTGTAAAATCTTTCGTAAATTTGTGTAAAATCTTTCGTAAATTTGTGTAAAATTTATTTGAAATCTGTGTAAAATTTGTGTAAAATCTTTCGTAAATTTGTGTAAAATTTATTTGAAATCTGTGTAAAATTTGTGTAAAATCTTTCGTAAATTTGTGTAAAATTTATTTGAAATCTGTGTAAAATTTTTGAAAAATCTTTCATAAGTTTTTGTAAAATTTATTTAAAATCTGCATAAAATTTGTGTAAAATCTTTCGTAAATTTGTGCAAAATTTATTTAAAATCTGTGTAAAATTTTTGTAAAATCTTTCATAAGTTTTTGTAAAATTTATTTAAAATCTGTGTAAAATTTGTGTAAAATCTTTCGTAAATTTGTGCAAAATTTATTTAAAATCTGTGTAAAATTTGTGTAAAATCTTTCGTAAATCTGTGTAAAATTTGTGTAAAATCGTTTGTAAATTTGTGCAAAATTTATTTAAAATCTGCATAAAATTTGTGTAAAATCTTTCGTAAATTTGTGCAAAATTTATTTAAAATCTGTGTAAAATTTGTGTAAAATCTTTCGTAAATTTGTGTAAAATTTATTTGAAATCTGTGTAAAATTTGTGTAAAATCTTTCGTAAATTTGTGTAAAATTTATTTGAAATCTGTGTAAAATTTGTGTAAAATCTTTCGTAAATTTGTGTAAAATTTATTTGAAATCTGTGTAAAATTTTTGAAAAATCTTTCATAAGTTTTTGTAAAATTTATTTAAAATCTGTGTAAAATTTGTGTAAAATCTTTCGTAAATTTGTGTAAAATTTATTTGAAATCTGTGTAAAATTTGTGTAAAATCTTTCGTAAATTTGTGTAAAATTTATTTGAAATCTGTGTAAAATTTGTGTAAAATCTTTCGTAAATTTGTGCAAAATTTATTTAAAATCTGTGTAAAATTTTTGTAAAATCTTTCATAAGTTTTTGTAAAATTTATTTAAAATCTGTGTAAAATTTGTGTAAAATCTTTCGTAAATTTGTGTAAAATCTTTCGTAAATTTGTGTAAAATTTATTTGAAATCTGTGTAAAATTTGTGTAAAATCTTTCGTAAATTTGTGTAAAATTTATTTGAAATCTGTGTAAAATTTGTGTAAAATCTTTCGTAAATTTGTGTAAAATTTATTTGAAATCTGTGTAAAATTTTTGAAAAATCTTTCATAAGTTTTTGTAAAATTTATTTAAAATCTGCATAAAATTTGTGTAAAATCTTTCGTAAATTTGTGCAAAATTTATTTAAAATCTGTGTAAAATTTTTGTAAAATCTTTCATAAGTTTTTGTAAAATTTATTTAAAATCTGTGTAAAATTTGTGTAAAATCTTTCGTAAATTTGTGTAAAATCTTTCGTAAATTTGTGTAAAATTTATTTGAAATCTGTGTAAAATTTGTGTAAAATCTTTCGTAAATTTGTGTAAAATTTATTTGAAATCTGTGTAAAATTTGTGTAAAATCTTTCGTAAATTTGTGTAAAATTTATTTAAAATCTGTGTAAAATTTTTGTAAAATCTTTCATAAGTTTTTGTAAAATTTATTTAAAATCTGTGTAAAATTTGTGTAAAATCTTTCGTAAGTTTTTGTAAAATTTATTTAAAATCTGTGTAAAATTTGTGTAAAATCTTTCGTAAATTTGTGTAAAATTTATTTGAAATCTGTGTAAAATTTGTGTAAAATCTTTCGTAAATTTGTGTAAAATTTATTTGAAATCTGTGTAAAATTTTTGTAAAATCTTTCATAAGTTTTTGTAAAATTTATTTAAAATCTGTGTAAAATTTTTGTAAAATCTTTCGTAAGTTTTTGTAAAATTTATTTAAAATCTGTGTAAAATTTGTGTAAAATCTTTCGTAAATTTGTGTAAAATTTATTTAAAATCTGTGTAAAATTTTTGTAAAATCTTTCGTAAATTTGTGTAAAATTTATTTGAAATCTGTGTAAAATTTTTGTAAAATCTTTCATAAGTTTTTGTAAAATTTATTTAAAATCTGTGTAAAATTTGTGTGAAATCTTTCGTAAATTTGTGTAAAATTTATTTAAAATCTGTGTAAAATTTGTGTAAAATCTTTCGTAAATTTGTGTAAAATTTATTTGAAATCTGTGTAAAATTTTTGTAAAATCTTTCATAAGTTTTTGTAAAATTTATTTAAAATCTGTGTAAAATTTGTGTAAAATCTTTCGTAAATTTGTGTAAAATTTATTTAAAATCTGTGTAAAATTTGTGTAAAATCTTTCGTAAATTTGTGTAAAATTTATTTGAAATCTGTGTAAAATTTGTGTAAAATCTTTCGTAAATTTGTGTAAAATTTATTTGAAATCTGTGTAAAATTTGTGTAAAATCGTTTGTAAATTTGTGCAAAATTTATTTAAAATCTGCATAAAATTTGTGTAAAATCTTTCGTAAATTTGTGCAAAATTTATTTAAAATCTGTGTAAAATTTTTGTACAATCTGTGTAACATTTGTGTAAAATATGCATAAGTAACTAAAAGTAATACTAAAGGCTGAACTCACTCTCCATGGCCCATCCACTTCACTAAATATTCTGCCGTTGCTCCATCCAGAACTCGCTTATCGAGAATCGCCTCCACAATGTACTCTTCTTCCTGCATGTTGGCTGGTCCTAGAGCCATTTTCACTTATTACCTAATAAATAATATGTAAAACCAATAAATAAAAATTCACCATTCCAAAATCAAGCTTCCCAAGAAATCATCAATTCGCAATTAATTAAATAAATAATTCCTAATCCCCATACTATCTCGGAAGCAATTTCCCAATTGTTAATTATAGTTTCGACTTTACTTCAACTTCCTATGAAAATTGACTGGGTTTATTTATTAGTTATATTACTTCAGGAATTAAAATTTGTTAATTCAACACCATTTCAATCCAGCTATGAACTTAATTAGTGAATAATGAATAACAGAAATTGTACCCTGTTCAAATTTGATGTTTGCCTTGCAGTTAGCTTAACACGTCCTTAACGGGCGAAGACTTGGTGACAAATGTAACAGTCAAATACAACCAAGATTGCAAAAATATCGCATTGAGTAACTCCAAACCTCAGCATCCCGTCACAGGGATTGCGACCACTGCGGCGAACCAATGATTCACTTATCTCGCTCATGTTATGTGTGGGTGTGAATTCGTTATTAAATTAACTTAATTACACGATCTCCATTCACTACTTAAAGAACATGATCTTGAAGCTACGGTGCCATTGCATGTTGGGTACATATATGTAACGGAAGCATTTGTGGCAAGAATAATTAATTTTAAATTTAATGGATAAGAAAATTATGGCGAATCGTTTCTGCTGAGAAGATGGGAAGAAAAAAGATTGAGAAAAGCCACAGATACGTATTTAGTGACAGAGATGGATGGAGGAACCCATACATATTTTTTGATATAACGCGGTATAAAATCCCGATGCAGCTTGACAAAAAAGATTACATTGTAAGCATGTAAATAACGAGTCAACGGTACAAGTCTTATAATAATAATAATAATAATAGTATTTATTATACTGATCTTATCATAATATGTGATACAAAAAAAACACCTCATGTTATAAAATAAATTCTTTATTCTTTACTAATTTAGTCTTTAAAATTTAATTTAGTCTTTACTAAATTCTTTATTCAATCGTAAACACAATGGATGATACACGTACATACATAGGTAAACACGTAGTGAATTAATTAATTTTCTTTGTTTGGTGGAATGTCACCATGGTTTAAAGACGAAGAGGAGAACAACTCCGAGCGCGACCAGCAACGTGATGGGGATCATGATAAGGGCAACGACATAGTTGCTCCGTTGCATTAGGTCTCGTGCGGTGATTCCCTGCACTCAAAACAAAACGGTGTCAATATATGCCTTAACCGCCTTGGTTACAATTGTGATTCCGAGTAGAAATTAATTTTTTCCGTCCGGTCATAATATTATAACTACCGGTATCAAAATCATCATAACTCGGATTCAACATGGTAACCAAGGCCGTTAAGTCATATATGGACACCGGCGGTGTTGATTTGACAAATTTTTGTTTTGAGTGTGTGTAAAAATTATCACAATATTAGGAAACGTCCATATATTACGTAATAATTTTAGTGGGTGGGTGGTTTAGGTCTTGCTATCGTTCCCATGTTAAAATTCTCTATCCCCTAATGTATTCGTTGGGTGGGTAGGTGATAAAATGGAAAATTTTTGATGACGTAATATATGGATGGCCCCAATCTACAAGTATGTAGAATCTACTAATAATGCGATGGTGTGAAGTGTAATGCTCGGATTTGATTGAAATTCCAAAATTTCAATCACATCAAGGATATCATATTTAAATATTGTGTAAACTTGAGAAAAGTAATTTACCCAGAGGATGAGCACTGCGAAGATTAGCTCCCTTTCCACCTCCGACATTGCCGAGTGTCCAAAGTGGGGTAACATGATCTGGAATTCTTTATAGTGCTCATGGCCTCGGAAAATCCTGGAGAGCGTGATCCCACCCACAGCGACGGCTTCACCGGCAGGATTTAGTATCTACGTATTTATGGAACGAATTGGATTTTCATAATAAAAAGTGCCAATTACCATGAAATATGGGAAGCGGGACAGTTTTGCGAAGATCCTTTTAGCGAAAAAAATGAAGAGATGTGATTTTTCGAGTTTTTGATTTACGCCAAGAGCAATATAAATTTCGCCATTCGGTACTTTCAGTATATGTTTTTACAATTTAGGCGGAATTGGCATATTTTTGTCAAACTCTCTATCAATCGAAATATGTATGAAGGACACGTGCTTTCCATTCACGCACAGTTTATAAAAAGTTTATAGAAATTAACAATTCTGATATACCTACGCCACTGAAGTCTCAAGTTCCCTAAAGTTTGCGACTGATGGGGGAATTTGAGACTGGCAGTGGCGTAGATAGGTCCTCAGGATCTCAATTTGGGTAATAGATTTTTAATCAAGGGGAGGTCCATAAATTGTGTAACTCGGGAGGGGCGGGGGGTGGTGGAATAAGATTGTGATGATATCGTGCCCATGCGACAAACGTTAAACCTGGAGAGGGAATCTAGAAAATCCCGATTTTTGCTTCACACAATTAATGGACGGCCCCCAATTTTGCAAATTATTCGAACTAGTTACCGTAATTGATTTCCCTTTTATGCTATGTCCCTTCGTGGTAAACCTCGGGGACGGTTCGGTATCCGAAGTGAGGCCGATTTTGGCCTCTGAAGCGACATCCTTACCAGTGACGATCCACCCGACAGGACCGGAAGAATTCGAGGAAACGAATTCAATGCGTTTTTCCTCGGTCTGAATAAATAAAGAATTCAGGAACCCGACCCGATCCGTTTCTTGGATTTCTAAAAGATCCGATCCGACAATTTTTTAGGATTGGAAGAAATATCCGATCCGATCTAATCCAAACGGATCGGTTTGGATATTTAAAAAACAAATTGGATCGGATATATTTCTTTCATCCAAAAATCGGATCGGATTGTAACGGATATTTTTTTATCCAAAAAACGGATCGGATTGGATATTGTGTTCAACGGATTTCATATTTTTTTATCCAAAAAACGGATCGCATCTGATCAGATATTTTATTAATCCAGAAATCGGATCGGGTTTCTGAGAAACCTGATCCAGCTCAACTCCGAGAAACATCTTGAAAATTTTCTACAGAAATTGGGCTTTGAATTTAAATTTTAATACATTTTTTATTAATCCGGGTTTGGGATAATCGAATCTCAGTTTTTCCTCGAATTTGAGTCGTTCATCGACTCGTATCATATTGCCAATCATAACCACTGTCCTTTCCGATGATCCAGAGAAACAGCAACACGTACTCCCTCCGAGGATTCGGACGCGGAGATTGGTGTCGAATAAGGGGAGCAGACGGGTGTCCAGCGGCATCCCCGCGGGGTTGGGAGTGATCCTGACAATGTCCTTGTCACAGGGCCAATCTGTGAGTTGAATAAGGACCGTTCATGAATTATGTAGGGAAAAATCGCGATTTTCTGGACCCCCCCACCACCCCGGGGGGTTAAAAATTCATTTTTCCCCCATTCCGGTTTCTCTCGTTACATAATTGATGTACGCCCCTTCCTGTTGTAATTACTACATGGTGTGAATATTAAGAGGAGAGTCCTGTACGTCATAAGGTTTGCATGCAAAAAATGCCTCTCCTTTTAATGTTCACACCATAATTGTGGGACCGTCCATATGTTACATGATTGAACACGGCGATTTTGGCACTACCCACCCACCTATTCCCCTTCATATCCTACTCATGTTAAGCTAAACACGAATATGATAGGAGCACCAAAACCAGTCATCCACCTTTTTTAGTGACGTAATGTATGGACGTTCCTTATGTACATACACTTTTAAAAATCTGCACGTATTTAAATACTTCCTGGATTATAACTTCAAAGCAAATAGTTTGTTTCTGATCGGTAAATTACCGCAACATTATTAAATGGTAATACCACTTGTTACCAGAGTCATGAATACCTGCATATGTACTCCGGTCAGTACTGATTTAATACCAGTTTTCTAAGAGTGTATATATGTATGTATGTATATTTTAAAATAATTACCTGGAAAAGTACCCTTCATATGATTCGCTAATCCCAGCATTATCGGGATTACAGGCTCCGGAGGTGTCGAGAGGGTTAAACGAGTTTGACTACTTTGAACTTCCTCTGGGGGAATTTCGACCACGGTGGCGACCACAGCTTGAAGGGGGTCGTGAAGTGGCATTTTTTTAATCTGAATCTGATCTCCGTGAATGTGGATTTAGTTGTGGAGGCGAAATTGCTCAGGTAAAAACTGATTAAAATGGGAGTTCGCTAACTTCTTTACGCAATCAATTTGTAATGATTTACGTATATAGGATTTGTATTAATTTTGTCAATCTGATAAGGGGCCATTCATAAATTATGTAATGTAAAAATTTTCAATTTTCTACACCATCCTCCCCCTCCCGTAACACGTGCCACATAGAACAGCCTTAGAACTAAAGTCCCCCATTTCGCGTTGCATAATTTATGAACGGTCCCTAACCTAAGTTAGATGAATGTTTGATCTAGCCGCTATCACACACTAATCCTGTTGCGTTATTGTATTTGGAATTCTACGTATTTATCTATTTATGCGCAAGCATGTGAAATTCCTCGCATGATAAATTATCACAACTCTAAAGTAAGGGGCCGTTCATAAATTATTTCACGCGAGTGGGAGGAGTGGGGTTTAAGGCTCCAATGTGTGACACATGTTATGCGGGGGGAGAGGGGATTTAAATAATCATGATTTTTTCCTTCCATAATTTATGAACGGCCCCTGACCGATACGGATTATCATTTATAATCCGTATAGTATTTATTTATCATGGTATCAGTGCATGGTGTCACTCGGTTCGAGTTAATACATATGTTGCTTTATCGATGGCAGGATTTCATGATTTTATTTTATTTATACAACGCCAACGAAAGCTTTTGTGCATTTTATTTACATACATGTAAACATTTTGTAAATCTGTAAATATGTAATGTGTCTCCAATTTTCCTGAACACAAATTGGGTTACACAATAAAAATTCGTCAAATCGGTGGTTTAAAAATCGGGTGGTTTAAACCAGAGCTCCACGCCGCCGATTTTACGCCGGCGCGCCGCCGACGCGGAACGGATTTGACACGCCGCCGCCGAGGAAATCCATCGGCGCGCCGGGGCGCGCCGCCGCCGCAAAAGTCGGCGCGTCGCCGGCTCGGCGCGTCGCCGAGAAAAAAAATATTCCAAACAACTAAAAGAAGTAGAAACGATCAAAAACGTCGAGATTTTGGTTTTAACGGTTTCATTTGTGATTGACATTGGGAAAATGAATATTTTTTTTACGATACGCGTTCTTAATTAGAGATCTTTTAGAACAGTTCAAATTTTGACTCCATTTAAAGAATCGATAACATTTTAAAATACATTTGGGTACATACAAATTGAGTACAGAAATACTTGACTTTTCGAAATTACTGTTGCTGTTTGAGAATTTTATAATTCGTTAAGTCCTGCGGTTTTTTTTAATTTTAAAAATTTTAAAAATTTTATTTTATGAAAAATTAGTCAATGGCTTTAGTCGAGAAATATTTTTGAAGTTCTAGAAAACTTGAATTAACATTGCGAATTAACATGAATTTAAAAAATATGGGTCGGCTTATTTTTTCGTTGAACCGATTAAAATTAGTACGCGAAATACATGACTCTGCCAGAGAAAAATGAATAAAGAGGTCAGATATGATCACTGACTGATAAACAGAGGTAGAAATATCGGCGCGCCGTGGCGCGCCACCGCCGAGCAGTAGCGGAACTATAGATTCGGGGCTGGTATGTGACCTGTATTTGGGGGCCTATGTAAATCTAAATGAACTGTTACAAGTGGGAGCCAATTTTTTTGTTAATTCTAGCTACAACGTTTAATGCTTCACTTTAATTCGTCTATTTAATATACATAGTCGGATCACAAGTTCCCGCAAATGCATTTCTGGTGATAATTAACAAAGCATTACAGGGCACAGATCCTATTTGCACAGTGAGAAAAATCGACCATGGACGGATAAGCTTTCTGTACTTCCGCAATTTTGCTCTCAAAACGTAGTGGTTTTAGGTAAATAAGACGTTTGATAAACAAAAATCGGTCAACAAATGCCAAAGAAATCGACCATCTCCTTACGCATTTTTCCCAAGGAAAATTGTCACGAAGGAAAATTGTGGAGAAGTTGAAATTATCCGGATGCAGTGCTGCTCGTTCTCCAAAATATCTTGAACTTAATTCCGCTTTAATTAGATAAATATCTAAATTACCGGGATTGGCATCCTCAATAAACTTCCAGCCCCCCAAAAAGTTTTCGCATACCGTTTTTCGAAAAATCGACGCCCATACAAGGCGAAAAAATCTTCTGACACAAACCCAAATTGGAAAAGTTGTCAAAATATGTCAGCTGCATTGAGTTGCTCCAGCGACAACAAACTTCAAAAGAGGTCAAAAAGGGCCAAAGTTCACACGAAATGAAACTTTACAATGAAAATCTTACCGAAAACGGTGCAGTATGCAGCTGAGTTAAAAGAAATGCTAGGGATTTCAATAATTTCTAATTCCTAGATAGCTGCGACCAGTCCTCATCCCACTCCTTGAGAGTTTTAATGGGCTTAGACTATAATAGCTTCATTTCAGACCAGCTCTAGTTTTTTTGTTGTTTCGCAAAAATCTTCAGGAAGAGTTGGAGATGATTGCCCTCCAAAATATAGGATAACTAATGAATTCGTGAAAACGGCGATATAAATATGTAGGTTGGCTAACCAAACGCATTGACAAAACATAATATATAAAACCAAAATAGACAAAACAAATTCATCGATACCGACTGACAATGCAAGTCTTTTACGTGTACAACTCAGATCGGGTTGGGACCAATTTTATTTTGTTCACCACAAAAAATAAGCATACCCGTATTTTTTCATTTTTCCTAATGCGCTAATTTGAGCGCGAGGCGCGAATTTTAAAACATTTTTCAGCCAAAACCTCGCTTTTTAAAAATTCTGTAAATTTTTGAGTTTTAGCGCGAATCCAAAAATTCAAAAACATGTCTCTTCAGAATGACTTACTTGACTTGTAAAAAATCCACATGCATTATTTTTTGAAAAATTAAAAATTTGAAAGAGTTTATGATTTTAATGAATTTCAAAAACTGGTAAAAATTTTTGAAATTCAAATTTTGACACAATTAAATTTTTCATAAGTCAGGTAAGTCATGCTGAAGAGACATATTTTCGAATTTTTGGATTCACGCTAAAATTCGAAAATTTACAGAATTATTAAAAAGCGAGGTTTTCGCTGAAAAATGTTTTAAAATTCGCGCCTCGCGCTCAAATTAGCGCATTAAGATAAATGAAAAATACGGGTATGCTTATTTTTTGTGGTGAACAAAATAAAATTGGTCCCAACCCGATCTGAGTTGTACACGTAAAAGAGTTGCATTGTGAGGTTTTAAGGTCAATTTTAAAACATGTGCAAATACAATATGTGATCCCCCGAAAGAGCTATTTTTTAGAAACCTTTATGGATGAACAAGGCACTAGTATTGTTCAGAAATCATAACTCGTTGTTCAAGATTGCGTTCTCTGGCTTGTACGCAAGACTTCAGTCGTGGCGGAGACTGCTCAATCGCGGCACGCACGGCTTTCATGGCAGAAGCTAACAGATCTTCAGTTGATATGACCTCAGGCCTTCCACACTTGTGGGATATTTAGAACACACTTGTATCTATAATTTTGACCATCAGTCGTAATTTAGTGGATCAGGGTGTAAAGCTGCTGAGAACTGTTCTTTGGATGAAAAAAGTCATAACAATTCGTCCGAAACCAGTTTTGGGCAATTTGCCAGTAGCGTACCAACCGTGGTATATTGTGGTACCAAATACCAGGCCCGGGGCCCGTAAGGGCCCGGGCCAGGTCGCTAGCTTTACACTAGATATAATGGACTTTTTTGGGCATTGAAGATTTTACAAAAAAAAATATTCCACGCAAATAAATTTTATTACATCTAGCATTAATCTGCTAGATCTTATTTGTTTTTCATATATATGTAATTACTTTTGTATGAATTTAGAGCAAACACCTATATTATAATTTCGAAAAGTCCGTCCCGTGAAATTTTCCGTGACATTGACTGCATTCTGATTGGTGGCCGGCTTTTTGGCTCCGCCAATCACAACACGGATATGATTTCGGTTGTGATTTCGGTTATGATTTCGGTTATGATTACGGTTATGATTACGGTTATCATTTCGGTTATCATTTCGGTATGATTTCTGTTATGATTACGGTTATCATTTCGGTTATCATTTCGGTTATGATTTCGGTATGATTTCGGTATGATTTCGGTATGATTTCGGTTATGATTTCGGTTATGATTTCGGTTATGATTTCGGTTATGATTACGGTTATCATTTCGGTTATGATCGGTTATGATTTCGGTTATGATTTCGGTTATGATTTCGGTTATGATTTCGGTTATGATTTCGGTTATGATTACGGTTATCATTTCGGTTATGATTTCGGTTATGATTACGGTTATCATTTTGATTATGATTTCGGTTATGATTTCGGTTATGGGTAACCAGAAAACAAATTCTTAGCAAATTTAAAAAATTGCTTATCAACGTCAAAAAATTTCCTTAGCAATGTTAAAAAAGTCCCTTAGCAACGTCAAAAAAAATTGCCTAGCAAAATAAAAAGATTCTTTAACATAAAAAAAATTCTCAGCAACCTCAAAAAGATCTCTTAGCTACATAAATAAAATTTCCTTAGCAACGTTAAAAAATAGAAACGTTAAAAAAATTCCTTATTACGCTAAAAAATTTCTTGGCAACGTTGAAAAAAGTCCTAGCTGGCAACCAATCTGAATGAAGAAATGTACTGGAAAGTTTAAGGGAACAGGCTTTTCGATGTTTTAATATATTTAGATGTTGTTTTACTCTCAAATTATAATTCAGTTATAATTAGTTCATCGCCGCATGGATGTGGTGCTTTGATCGAAAGATTTTGTTGTCTTGATTTAAAACTTAATGTGGACCGTCTTTAAGACGGGCTTATAGGCTAGTAATGTATAATTTTTAATTTTAATAGTTTGACTTTAGAATTCAAATTAAGTAAATACAAAATCCTGATTTTAGCTGAAACTCATTTAAAAATTCAGCTACATAAATGGGAAATAAGCAATTTAAAATTCGTAGGGTAAAAGTTTGAGAGGATCACTTCATGCATACGGATTTTGAGTTACAATTCCGGCAAATGTAAATTACCTG